CATTACTACTTGAAATATCAATAGCTGAAAATTAATTAATTATGCAAATTAGGTAATTAATTAATATGTACTGATATTACCCTAAAAACTATCTGTGCAGTCTCATATGACATCTATGTACCAAGTTTTATTGAAATGTTATGATTAAACTTGAGATATCAGTGGAAAAGCCGAAAATTGATTAATCATTATGCAAATTAGGTAATTAATATAAACAGATTTTTACCCAAAACTAATGAAATCTGCGCATTAGATCAGAGCATCCATGTGCCAAGTTTCATCAAAATCCAATGAGTGGTTCTTCAAATATCAGTGGAACAGTCATGGAACAGCTTAAAATCAGTTAATTATCATGCAAATTAGGTATTTAATATTCATAGATTTTTACCAAAAACAAATCAAATCTGCGCATTAGTTCAGAGCATCCATGTGCCAAGTTTCATCAAAATCCAATGAGTGGTTCTTCATATATCAGTGGAACAGTCATGGAACAGCTAAAAATCAGCTAATTATCATGCAAATTGGGTAATTAATATTCATAGATTTTTACCAAAACCTAATCAACTCTGCACATTATCCCAGAGCATCTATGTACCAAGTTTCACCAAAATTTGATTAGTGGTTCTTGAGATAACGGTGGAACAAAAAAAGTGACATACATACATACATACATACAGACAGACAGACATACAGACAGGGTAACTGCAAAGACTCCCTTTTGTGCTTCGCACACGGGAGTCAAAAATATTATTTATTATGCTAATTAGAGAATTAATATGAACAGATTTTAACCCAAAATTAATCAGGCTGTCTATTGTCCTAGAGCATTTATATACCAAGTTTTACTCAAATGTGATGATCAATACTTGAGATATCAGTATTAATTAATGTTAATTAGGTGATTAAGAAGCATAAATATTTACCAAAAACTAATATGGTGTATAGTCTTAGGTTCATTGAAATGAGATGGGTACTCTTTAAAAGTTTCATTGAAATCCAATGAGTGGTTTTTAGACATCAGTGCAACAGCCATAGAATTAATTGACACAATTATTTATCCCAAAATTAATCAGGTCTCTGCATAGGTCCTAGAATATCTATGTCACAGGTCTCATTGAAATGTGATGATTAGTACTTGAGATATCAGGTGAAAAGCTGAAAATTAACTAATTATGCTAATAAGGTGATTATTATGCACAAATATTTACCTAAAAACTAATTAGGTCTCTGCACAGTCCTCAAGTAACTATGTTCCAAGTTTCATTGAAACGTGATCATTACTACTCGAAATATCAAAAGCTGAAAATTAATTAATTATGCAAATTAGGTAATTAATATGTACTGATATTACCCTAAAAACTATCAGGTCTCTGCAGTATCATATGACATTTATGAACCAAGTTTTATTGAAATGTTATGATTAGTACTTGAGATATCAGTGGAAAAGCCGAAAATTATTAATCATTATGTAAATTAGGTAATTAATAATATTAACAGATTTTTACCCAAAACTAATCAAATCTGCGCATTAGTTCAGAGCATCCATGTGCCAAGTTTCATCAAAATCCAATGAGTGGTTCTTCAAATATCAGTGGAACAGTCATGGAACAGCTTGAAATCAGTTAATTATCATTCAAATTAGGTAATAAATATTCATAGATTTTTACCCGAAACTAATGAAATCTGCGCACTAGTTCAGAGCATCAATGTGCCAAATTTCATCAAAATCCAATGAGTGGTTCTTCAGATATCAGTGGAACAGTCTTGGAACAGCTAAAAATCAGCTAATTATCATGCAAATTAGGTAATTAATATTCATAGATTTTCACCAAAACCTAATCAACTCTGCACATTATCCCAGAGCATCTATGTACCAAGTTTCACCAAAATTTGATGAGTGGTTCTTGAGATAACGGTGGAACAAAAAAAGTGACATACATACATACAGACATACAGACAAAGGTAACTGCAAAGACTCCCTTTTGTGCTTTGCACCCGGGAGTCAAAAACAGTTTACTTGTGCAAGACAATTTTTTTTCAATAAAATAAATACACCAATGTATGTAGCATGCCTTAGAAAGCTATTTTTGTGATTTTCAAAAAATAAAGTGAAAAGTGCCCAAAAAACTATACTGCTACCTTAAGAATAATTATAACCTTCATGTTGCCAAATGTGTTAAATACTCAAAATACATAAGCTGTCATTGATATATATTGTTAGTATGTGTTAAATATTGTTATGTCAGTCTAGGAAGTTAATTGTTCTAGAAACATGTTACCCGGTAATGGCATATGTATGTATAGAGGATATTTCATGAGTGACAGTACAATATCAGATTTATTAAAAGGAATGAAAATTGCTACACAACTAAAATCTCTATGTCCTCAACTTTCAGTCGAAAAATACAACCTACACATCAAACGTCACAATTTTTTGATCTCTTTATTTTTCTTTTGACACACTCTTAAATCTTGGATACTGATAAATAACAGATGGTTGTTCTGGCAACAGCTACCATGTAACACTGCACTCACTATAAAAACTCTGCTAATGCCTAGGTGTGGTGATAGTGATGTGTAATTGCCACCAGCTCATGATACGATTGTTTGAAAATGCTGACAACGTAACACTGTCATTCTTCCAGAGATCAAATGATGTGGGAGAATTCTCAGTGTACAGAAATTGAAGTAACCAATGAACAAAGAGTATTTTATGAGACTGCTTATGACATCCCATAGTGTGAGAAATTTGTTTAAATCAGATATTAATAGCAGCGTACCTAGGCACTAGTGTTGCATATAGTGAGTTTTCAGTTTCTGTATTCAACCCAGTTTTACTCACTGACGTGAAAAAGAAACAATAAACTGTCATACTCGTAATAAAAACTTACCTTTTGTTGTTGTGAAACATAATGTTACACTGATCATCCAGCAGCCCAAAGTCAATGTTGGAAACTCCCAACTATTATGAAAGATAAAAAAATTGACAATATACTGAACTAGATATCTGTGTATTACATGGCAACAAATATCAATTGCTACAATTCTTACAGAGCTTCTCCCAGGGATAGTTATACTACCATAGTGATACTTATAATTAGTGATTTGTACAAAATTTTGATTCAGCAAAAACAAATAAACACCAGAAAAATTATTGCTTTTTCAAGAGTGTGAATTAATAGAAAACAAAATGGCATCAGCAGGCTTAGACTGAGAAAAAATATATCTCTGTTTCTCGTTTCCGCGCGCATCATTTTGAATTATGTGCCTCAAACATTTTTTTCCTTCTAAAGCACTTGTCTCAAATTTCCCCCATTTCAGCTCAGTGTTCAAAAAAAAAAAAAAAAAAACGCCTTGCCACCTCATTTTAAAATTTCCATGAAGCGAGAAACAGAGATTTTTTTTTTCCTGGCCTTAGTGAGAATTTCACGCATGCATATACTTTTGTATAGTGCAAGTACGTTGTTGAATAATTTAAATTATGTAACTGAAAGTTTTATCGATCTGACATGCTAGTACTGAGTCAAGCATCCAATCAAAGACATAAATTCACACATCAGGTTACTCCTGACATATATGGTAGTGATAAACTTTCAACAACATGGTGTTGAAGTCATTCAAGCTGTCAGAGTGATGCCTTTTAATGCTATCTATGTTGACTGAGGAATTACTCTGATCTATATGCATTGTTTTAAAGCACTCCATTCTTGTAGTTAGTTATGTATATGTCATTCATGTTTTGTTGAAATCGTCATAGCGATCATCAGAGATATATTGGGATATCAC